GCTCATATAAAACTTATGCAGATATGTTCTTACAGTAACTAAAGTACTAAGACTTGAAATTGCTTTGTATAATTAGTATTGTCAGGCCCCCTCCACAAGCTTAAAAGGTCCGGTGTTTCTCTTTTTTTGTTGTTGTGTTTTAAAATTCTTTGTTATGAACTGTTTTTGAGATTATTTTGTTATGAACTGCTCATTTTAGCAGCCAGTTCTTACACATACCTATGCATTGAACTAATTTAGTTAAACATTTAATTTAGGTGCGTATTATGAAAAAACGAATCTCCACATTTTCCGTTTAGTGTAAAAAATTGGCTAAGGAATATATTGAATCTTGTAACAACATAACTATTTCTATGAAGTATTTCTTATCGACAATTTTTCATTAAGTGTGTAATTTCGTGACTGTTTTCAAGTGTAGTCGAATAGTAACTTAATTCAAACTATACACTTCATACTTGATACAATACTCCAGTTTCGAATTCTCCAATGCTCTGTGTTAGCCTCATTTGTGCGCAAAATATTCCTTATTGTGAGGGTAAAAGTGTTAGATTTCAAATCAAATTTATTGTCTTTCTTCACAAAATTCCATGAGTTTTCTCGAGCTATCAATAAAACAAAAGAATATGTTACTTGGTTTTGAGGCTAACACAGAGCAAACCAGAACTCGAAATTGGAGTATTGCTGTGTCCAAGCTTGTAATTTGTTGTTTTCAAGTAGTTGCCATTTTCGACATTTTCAGGTTCTCTATATCAGACACACAATTGCATTCACCGCCGACAGAGAAATACACAGGACAGCGGTATGAGATAGCATCTTGATTTCTTAAAACCATCGTTTTATTTGATTATTGTTCCACACTAATGATACAACTATCTAGTAATAAAGCACAATTAGAATTTACTCACTTTTGGATTATTTACAAGCCTTACAACAATGGCATTTTACTTGCACAAAAATATGGAATTCTAATGAATTATTATTCTATAGTTACACTTAGCCTCCGTAGCAGACGTTCCAAGTGGTACGGAGGCTAAGTTACACTCAGAGCTCACCCGCTTCATGCAGCAATACTCCAAATATATCTTACAATAAATTTTGTTCAATTACAAAAGGAAGTCGCGGGTTTTAGTTTAGTTTTGTCTTAGGAATACAGTCTCCAGGGATTTTTTCGTGCTTGCTAAGCTGTGATCCTTGTGAGAATATTTTCCCGCATTTTTCACATTTGAAAGGCTTCTCACCGGTGTGTATGCGAATATGATTGTTGAGGGTTGTGGCCCCAGTAAATGAGCGAGCACAGTATCCACATTTAAATGGTTTCTTTCCCTGGTGAATGACAGCATGTGCACGCATCTCTCCGGCGGTTGCGAAACTCTTGTCACAATGGCCACACTTGAAAGGTTTGAAACGAGTGTTTGCACAGACATGAACTTGAAGCATTGACCTCTGAGAAAATGTCTTGTGGCATTGACCACACCGCCATGTCTCGTTTGTCTCGCTTTTGGTGGGACTATCTAACCCAAATGAACAACCACTGTCGCTTGATGCAGGACTTTGCGGAGAAGAAGAACTATAGTCGTCTGCCCGTCCAGTCAATTTGCTGTCTGTAATTTTCAAAGAAAACCCAGTAGAAACTCTCGGAACTGGCTTGGAAGGAGTAGTCTCTGTCTTCCCTCTACTTAACTGCGCGAATACTGCTGGATTTGTCTGTTTAGTTGGAGAGGAAACCAGAGCACCGATTCTGTTAAAAGATGTTTCCAGTTGAATGGTTCCAGTTTGATCTGTGGTTTTGTTTGGAATATCTGGCACAATTTGCGACCGATGACTCCTTACTGGACTAGCCAAAGATTCAAAGTTGAGCGTCATGGATTGATTGCCTATAAACAAGATCACAAACTAGATAAATATCATATCTTCGTGAATGAACAATCATTTGTCAACTCACCTTTCTTAATTACAGTATTAGTTTTTCCAGACATGCCATTGGCGTACTTTGTATATTCCTGGTCATACCATACCATAAGTTCTTGGCCAGGTGGAATGGTTCTATTTGCACGGTAAAAGATCTTGTTCTGGTACTGGAAAGCCCAAAGGTTTTGTTCTTCCCGGCAATTGGAGCGCTCAATGAATCGCATCCAGCTGGACGTATTCTCGTCACTGCCGTCAATATAACCATGCAGCTTGCCATCTTGGAAAATCTAGACAAAGGTAAAGATTCATTTAAGAAACTGAATGTCGAAGAACCCATGGTTATGTGACATTTTTTTGAAATTTTCCAAGGAATAATGGCCGTCTGTCATCATATGCATCATCATACTCAATGGTCCTTATTTCTTATATGTTTTTTTACTGATAAATGTTGATTACCTCCCACATAAATTTGTTTTTCAGAGGTGCCTCATCTTTCTTCACCAATTGTCCTTCATAAGGACCGATCCACGCCCCGGCGGGGAGCTGCATTATGGTTCTCACTCCAGTCCTCGCACCATTTGGAGTATTGGTTGTATACAGCTGCAGCATATTTGGGATGTCTTGGTAAGCATACGGCTTCTTTGTTTCTTGTTTATTTTTGTGTGGTTGGTTTTGATGATACGGGCATTGGAAAGATTCCTGGTATCGCTTAGCATCACACCCTATTATAGTACAAATTAATAATGATTTCATTGAAGACTAATGAGTTTTGTCGAAATAATTCATCCGCGTAACGCGTGATTTATCCAAGTAACGCAATCTTGCATTACTAGAATAACTGCATTCCTATTGGGCAATTCTTTTGATTGACATACATGACTACTCACAGAAACAAAAGTTATATTCATCAAGTGAGTCTTCTTGTGGGACGTTTTGCAAGTCATGTTTGCTGTAAAGATGGCTTGTTATGTCCTCAAATGAAAAAGAAAAGGAATCTGCTGACAACAGTCTTCTCTTCCGGGCTGGCTCTATGTCATCAGAATTTTTCTCAGTTCTCTTGGGTGAAGTTTTCTAATGATAAATACAAGAAGAGTTATACAATGACAAGGAAATATAATATAATATAAAAACAATTTATCTTGCATTTGTTATTAGTCTTTCTTTACATTCAACTTCCCGTTCAGTAGCGATGAAAAAGAGTTTTTGAGAGAACTTCGCCAGTAAGAAGTAGATTCTTTGAATATTATACCTCAGGACACTTCCTTTCTGATGCAAGCCATAGTAAACAGCATTATTGTATCATATGAACTTTGTCAAGAGCAAATTTTTGCATAATTCTGGGATCAAACAAGCGTAAAGACAGTCGATCTGAGCGCTAAAAAAGTTTCGCAGGATACTCAACTCGTCTATTACAAGAGATGTTCATTAAAAGATAAGACGATCGTAAAGTTAAAAGAGGGATTGTATGATCGCAGTAATTATTAGCCATATAACAAGATATTTGTTCAATGGTTGCGTTTTCCTTGATGGAGGATGACAATGACTGGCGATCGAAAGAAGTCGATCATTTGTCGAATTCATATTTCATGTCTTACTACTCTGAACTGTATTCTAAAAGCCTTCGTAGACTAATTAGACCGGTAACCCTAACCCTAACCCTAATAAAGCCACTCGCCATATATTGATAACGATTATGTGAGAATATTATTTGTAAATAGTATAAGTGAATTATTTGAAGAGCTCAAGACAATCTTCATTTTCTTTAGATTTGAAATGGGAATTAATTACAATCTAAAATATTAAATCCATTCCTTACATCAGAAAAGTTCTATGTGTAAATAGTAGAAAATATTCCTCAGCGCAGTGTTCGATTGGCACACCCCATGTACTGTGAATCGAGGTTCGAAGTAGCTGGATTTTTTCTTAAGACAGATAAAACTTCATTTTTCTTACCTGGACACCCAAAATTCCAGAAGATAGCACTTCCATGTTGACTTGATTTGGACGTAAAAAGGCGAGCCGCGCACAGTCGCTTATGGAAGGGCGATTAATGCTAGGCACTTTAGGTTGGTTTTCTGATTTGAATGCTTATTTAAATTTATCGCTTCAGATGAAATCTCCTGAGAACAATGGTTCTATTGTGTTAAGGAGAATCACCATTCAAAGCATATTTAAATAGATGAAAGATTTGTTTCCTCAAGCATTACTAATCTTTGTTTATTCGAGAAAAATCTTCCAAACACACGTACTACGAATTTGATAAATGCAATTTCTAATTCCATAAATAATCGCAATGTGATGCCCGCGATGGTTGAAATTGTCCTTATAGATTGCGGACTTACCTTTCAAAAGGGCGCGGAAACAGTGTTTTCATTGTGTAAATTTAATACTAACTCTGATTTACAAGGGCAATTCATAAACTAAAAAGGCTTAGCAATGGCGAGATAAAATGATACAGGTTGTATATAGATAAAATGGCAGCAGTCCTGGACTATCACAATGAAACAATTGAATGCAGCTTGTTGTGATTGCTTTTTGGATTGACAACTTCGTACAATATAGTAAAAGATAACAAGTAGCCGAACTGATTAAGTTTTGACATTGCAGCTAACTTTGGATGCAGTCAAGCGATAGACACTATTTGACTGACGCACTTTCTTCTTTAATACTGGATAACTTAAGTATATTTCGTCGAAATATCTTACTAGATAGAAGTTGCAATGATGAAATATACTTTCTTGATAAAATTTTGTTAAGACAAACATTGTCAATGACTTTCAACTGTGGCGTAATGTTTAAGAACTTTAATAGCATATTTGGCGCGCATTATGCTAATCAGCATGCAATTATGRTTCAGTTGGATGACTGATTATCGCTCAAACTATGATTTACTCTTTGAATGGCATTCAGACGCTGTAAAAAAGAAGATTATGCTTCTTTTATATCGTGTATTTGTAAACAATGACACAAGATCTCGGAATAGTATTCAGTGATTTCTCAAAACCTTTCAAATGCAAACATTAAGAGTTATTTAATGCTTGTTTACAAAATGGCATTCAAAAGTGTTTATTTCATTAAAACATAGTCAAGAATAACGTTTATTTAAACAGAAAAAAGTAAAGATTGCAAGTAGTGGTTTCAGAAATTTTGAATAAAGGTCACCTTTGATTTCGTGAACCACATAGCTAAGATCGAGCACATTTGCTCTTCGCCACTCCTTATCGAACTTTGTCTGAATTGTATGTTATTGACTACCTCTAGAGTTCGTCCATAATTATAGGGACCTTAGAAATCACGCATTTACAACATTGACATTGTACTCCATAGTTGTTTTTCAGATGGCGTAATAATATTCAAAAACTCCCTTCTTATAATAGGCAGTCAAGCGATAGGCATACTTCATCTGACCAATGACAATTTGCCAAAAGTGCAGGACTATTTTGGAAAATTTTGGGAGAATTCGTATTAAGCCGTAAAAAAAGTTCATTCTAAGATAGAATAGATTTCTTAAATAAAAGAGTTTTGAACGAAAAACATCATTAATAGACTGAAAGTCAATAGTGGCGCAATGACCCAGAACTTTAATAGCTTATTTGGCGCGCATTATGCTAATCAGCATGCAATTATCTCAACAGTTCAGTTGGATGACTGATTCCATTTATCGCTCAAACTTTGATCTAATCTTTGTTGAATACCATTCAATAATAAGATTCTATGTCTAATATATCGTGCAGAACAATGCCCCAAGCTAAAATCTCGAACTCATCTGAAGCACTGATTTTGAGAAAGCTTTGAAATGTGAAAAGCAAAAGTTGGATGATTTACTTCTTGCTTACAAGAATCATTCAGATAAAATTTTTAAATAAGAGAAACAAATTTAGATTGTTTTAAATATTTTCTATTTTTTGGATGAATTTGAACTCGTCGGATTCTACTACGTGAGACCGCATGCACAGCTGTAAGTTTGTTCTTATCACGAATTACAAACATTCAACAATGTATGAACATTTACCGATTTTCTGTCTTTCACACAATTTTTAGGCGATTCGATAATGGATTGTGAAATAAAGTGACCAATTCTTACATCAACCCACACCATAAACATGTTTACCGATAACTTTATTAATATTAATTAAGTAGTGTTCCCTGTCAATCGGGAACATTCGATTAACAAAGTTTGCGTTTTTAATCGATTAGTATTACAYCAATTATATCACAAATTTATAAGAATGTCATAAGAAACCATTCTAATGTTGTATTTAACCATTCAAATTATTTGAAAGGTTCCGTGCAAACCGTTTTCGAACGTTCCATTTCAATGGGCGCACAATTAACTCGGCGGCAAGAGAGTATCTTATGGTAGTCCCGCTCCAAGAAGCCATTCAAACACACAAAAGCATTCAAGTGAATGGCACAAAGGCTTACAGTACGCTTGACCAATCGCCTTTTGTTCGTTGCCAGCGACGATTTCACTTCAATGCACTCAAATAGATTTACTATTCAATTTCTTCATTACTGAAGTATTTTAGATATTCATATCAGCCCTTCTTGTTTTTCAGCTAAAACAATGAAGCAGAGGGGAGGATTTATTTATTATGTCCAACTCTAACTGTAAATACTGCAATAGTTTCATGATTTTTGTTATTAGGAAGGTTTGTTTACTAGGATGTTTGTTGTCAATACTTAACTAATATGAAGATGAAAACACTTATTACATATAATGCCTTTAGAGGGTGGAAACTGGTGATGTGTAAAGACTAAAGTCCTCGCTTGCTCAATTAGTGTCTCTCAACAATCAAAACACATAACAAGGTCAAGTCCAAAATTGCTGAAGCTATTGAATACGTAAAGCGTGCTGAGAACTCATATAACATGAAATAGAGTTGGATTAGTTCCTATTAGTTTTAATTTCTGTCTACATTACGTGCTTTCTGCATGATGAGCATTGTTAAGAGGGTTTTCCTTATGTTCAACAGCCTACTTACAGTTCCTGTAGATAGTGATCTATTGCTCGTGTTTGTGCTGTAAATTATCATTCATTATGGACTTTCTAAATTATTTGAGAACCCTAGGCCTTCGCCGCAAACTTTGACGTTTAAGAAAGTAGATCCGTCGTGAAATGTACCATTTTGGAATGAATGGAACTAATCCATAATCTATTACGTAAATGGTAGTGAATCCGTCGTGACACGTAATGTTATTTGCCAATACGTGTACTAATTAACGAGAGAATTCTTATATTTCCATGTACCAGATTGCGAGGTGGCCTTTGAACAAAGGGATGCACTAAGATTAACTTACCTAACTAATTGTGATAATTAAGAACTGTAAATGATTTAAAATTGCAATCATGCAATGATACAGTGTTGGTATTCTAGAGAATTTAGTTGAGCAATTATCCCTCTCGAGAAAAGTTCGGAAGTTTTCAATGTTTGATCAATACTTTGATAAAACTAACAGAAATATTCATTTCTATAGCAACAGGTAGATAACTTGGTATGTCAGCCTGTATGTTTGTTGACTTTCTCTAATAATTTCGAGACAAAGCTTATGAAGAAGTCGCGTGTGACTGGAGACTTGTGATGCATGTCAGCTATGGTAACAGCTTGCAAGTGTGCGATCTTTGAACACAAGTGAGCAATGCAGAAGAGACATTTATTTATAATAACCCTAAATATAAAAGTAAAAAAATTAACGGTTATTTTTCATAAACGATTATCTAACTTTATGACTGCAACTTGCGCTATCTGAGGATGGTCACAGCTAACTTTGTTCAGTTCAAATCGATAATACAATCTAGAAATCGAAAAATCTATATCCTTGGCGATTGTCTATGACTTGATCATGCCGTTSAGTATTTCAGTCTTTTCTCTTGGCATACGCATAGAGAGTGTGCTATTTAAACAAGTTGCGATTTAAAACTGTACTTTCCGAATTTAATTTGTACTTCAGAAATTGATGTCATTTTTGCGGGGTATACGAATTTCCACCAATCAGATGGATTTCAATGGATTAAATTGAATATCGACTCTTATTATAATTTAAATTTGTATAAAATTATTTCCACTGGTTATCCATTCCTTCAAAGCAACTTTAGTTGCATTCAAACAAAGCACGACGATGTCTGCTAAGTTGGGAAGCCTGAGAAAATTCTTTGCCGCATTTCTCACAGCCAAAAGGTCTTTCTCCAGTGTGTGTTCTTATGTGATTGTTGAGAGTAGTTGATCCCGCGAAAAGACGAGAACAATATCCGCACTTGAATGGCTTCTTTCCATTGTGACAGACTGCATGAGTGCGTAGGTCACTTGGTTGTGCGAAGGCATCGGGGCAGTACGTGCATTTGTAAGGTTTCTCAGGGACTGAAGGGCAAATGTGCAGCTGTAGAATTTGCTGTTGTGCGAATGATTTGTCACACTGACCACACTTCCATATACTCATTTCCAAACCATCGTCTGGACTGGAATTGGCTTCTTTGTCTCTTAAAGCTTGTTGTTTTGCTTTCATCTCTTCAACTCTTGCTTCTTCGATTTGCGAGAGGAGTTTAGTGATCGTGTTGTCTGAAGATGTCATTCCTGCTTGTTTTACTTTCAGCTTTTCCGAGTAACAAATGCTCTCCTTGAAGTTTGCATTCTGATCTAATCCACTTTCACTACACTTCACGTCTCGTGATACTGAACTCGATGTTAATTGGCTCGGAGTTATTTCTGCACTACGTTTGATCATTGTCATATTTGTTCTCGATTGGTTGATTTGATGATCACGTGAATAKGGAATAATGCCATGAGAGTTAAGCGCATTGTTTACATTTTTCTGAACCATTAATGAACTAGGAGACCTTGATTTACCATTAACCATATATGGACTTTGATTACCATATAAGGACACCGCCGAGTAAGCGTCATTTAGCTCTCGTATGTTATAATTTAAGGAGTTTGGGAACGAGCTATGCATTAAGGTATCACGTGGCACCATTGGATAGGTCACTTGGTATCTAGGCAGCTGGGGTGGCTGTCGAACTATCGGTGGAAATGGGTGATGGGGTGCAAACGCTGCCATCATTGGACGGGAAACACTGGCAACCTGCACATTTGGATTTGTTATTGTTGGAGATTTGACAGGAATTCTCGATTGCACTTGAAATGGCCTGGAATCTTTACTTTCTATAAAACGATTAATACAAATCATCATTGAAGGTGACTGGACGRAATGCAACTAAATATTGAATATCATTCATTGATATTATTCAATATGTTAATTTATTCGAGGAATTATCGTTTTCTATTAGTACCCACCACGTGATGATGTTCCAATATCCTGCATTTTGAGGGGGATACCAAGATAATGGGGGCAAGTGTCGTCGTACCAAACGAGAATTTCGTTTCCCGGAGAAATTTCTTGGAAGACTCGATAATAAATATTTCCGAAATATTGCATAACAGACGTGTTTTGTTCGCCTTTGTACCGAGCGCAGCGGATAAAACGCATCCAACTGGAATTTTGTTCATCGCTGCCATCCAAGTAGTGAGCCAAAGATCCCTCTTGGAATATCTAAACAGAAAAGGCATCCTTGTGAAAAAATTGAAAAGGTATAAGGTTATGATTATGTGTGTACTGTTATCAAGCTAATCACACAATCCTTAGTGAACCCTATAGTGTGAATGTACCGTACGTACCTCCCACATATAGGAAGTGTCGGTGTGCGGAGTGATTTCTTGTGGTTTCACTTGTTTGCCTTCGTAAGGTCCAATCCATGTGCCTTCAGGGATTGTCCTTACAGCCCGTACACCGTACCCTTTTCCTGGGACGCTTGACGTGCATAGCTCTACCTCTGGAGGGAACGAACTCATGGCCCTTGAAAGCTGTCTGTTGTCTGGACTACGAAGTAGTCTTAGTGTTTCAAGGTGTTGATGGTGTGAACATAAACTACCGTTTGGAAGRTCATCACATGATACGCAGTCTAAAAGGCATAGTAGGAATATCAGCAATATATGGAATAGCAAAAATTTGAGCCATCGTTTTAACGGCTAACCTCGAATAACTCTGTTTGTTGAACTCTCTTTAGTTATGCTCACACTTTTCAACTCTGATCGGCTGAAGAGATAAGCAAGTATTTCTGAAGTGGTAAAGTTGTACTTGGGGTCTCGACTGCCTTGGGAAGAGGGGCGTTTCTCAATGTGTTCCTGAAAAAAATGCATATAATCGTTTTTATCAAAGTACTAAATCTGCTCTAGACGACTCATACTGAACGACCGCGTCTTACAGGAAGATTTAACATATAAGTCAGGGTACATTTGTGTAAAACAGTCTTCGTTACTGCACAAATTGCGTTTTTTCCCATTAAAGTTCTTAATCAGATATTGGCTGTATATGCATTCGGAAAGTTCGTGTTTCTTATGAAGTCAAACTGATTAATTCACGCTTATAAAGCAGTGGAATCTGTGATTTCGATGCAGTTTTACCATTAAGTCCTTTTTAAAATATGCTAAGAGCTGAAGAAAAAATCAAAAGTTGATTAATCTTACCAGGACTCCAAGTCAAAGTCTTTCCAGGCAATTTGAATGATTGATACAGTTACTTGAAGTAGGTCGGAAATCAAACGGTATTTAGATAGTAATGCTTTTTAACTTGACCCATTTAGAATATTGAACTGATAGTGCGTTGTGTAATTCAGTTTGAGGACATGCAACATTGACTGACATACATTATGGTCCTGGCTTACTCACTTCTATTTATGTGACATCACACCGCATGCATAACTCTTCAACAGAATGAAAATGGGAATATTGTACCTGAAGCTATTCGGTGTGAAGTAAACCAAGGAAAAAAATAATAGAATGATTTGAGGAAGTTCAAAGATAAAGTTTACAATTATCGTAGCCCTGCATGTATTCCGTTGAAACCACTAAGTGAAATCACAGCTAAGCCATGCCAAATGGAATCGAAGTCTAAAAATCCTTTCAACGGATACAGTGTTTTCCTTAGATCATTAATACAGCAACCAGCAACGTCGAATTCGAATTCAAATGCATTGCAACAAATAAATGTCTGTACGGTCATTGATCGAACATTCTAGAATCATTTACATGTTATTCTTTTGGTACGAATAGAAAGTATAACCCGCACAGGCAGGCTCATACTTCCGGTCCAATATACAAACGTTGTCTAGTAACTTGAATCTATTTTGTCTTGATGGTTTTAACTATAAACATAACGTTGTATAGTAATGTTGCTAGTGATTTTCGTCTAAGTATGTTTGGCCAGAAGAATCATTACATTTAAGTGAGATGAGAAGTCGGCCACTCCTTGAACGTATTCACTCAAGTCCTCTCATGTCCAAACGATCCGATATTGAACTGCTAAAGGTGTTGTCAACAACACTAGTTATAAATGTCTTTTGATAAAGTATTTTTGAAGCTTTTGGTAAAATGATGAGCAATCAATATGACATTCCATGTCATTGTGATGATTTAATATGACTTGTTGCAATCTAATCACAATTTTTGTACGTTTGAATCTCTACCTTGTAAGATTCTTCTAGACAATAATTGTTCTTTGTTTGTCTTATTTCTATACATTTTGAAGTCTATTAAGTCTAATATTATTCTATTACTGTCTCATGGTGTGTTGTTTCCAAAATGAGACAGTGACATCAAAATATATTCATAATATTGGTTCAGCGTGTGTTATTGGCTCGTTATTCAAATATTCCCTGTCCATAGTTTAACAACATTAGCTTTAATATCGGTAATCTTAGGGTTGGACATCATGAGTGTGCAAATATCACATAATGCTAAACAGGGAAATTATGGAATTTATTCTACTGACACTGACTTCAAGAAAAAAAGTCATCATGGAGTTCGTTCGAGAAATAGAGTTCAAAAGGCAGCATTAGAGCGAATCGCTCTACTGATAGGATTACTTGGATTCTTTAGAATCAATATCAACGACGCCAACAAATTAAAAAAATAACCTAAAATTATAGAAAAAATATTCAAGCTAAACGCATTTCCTCTCTGGGCTCAAACTATTCTCATCGTTACATCAACTGCGCTTACAATCTTTGAATGGACTATTTCGGGTTTCAGTAGGGTTATTTTTATCTTATATTTGGCGAAATAAACAGGTTTATGGTTGGCTGAAGCCACGCTTTTTTAACTGGACCGTGAATCCTTGCAATGCCGTCAGTAAAAACACTTCATTCTGACTCAATATCAAAACAACTGATTAATGAATGAATTAACTTGCCAATCCTAGGCAATTTTTCTCTTTCAAAACACTAACTTGTGTAACTGGTTCTGATAAGAGTAATATTGGTTTAAGTCACAATCCCTGACTGTTGTTATTCTGGAAATATGATTTTCCTGTTGTAGTGGGACCTAGGTGTTAAGTCTAGAACGTCAGTCAGGGCATGACTGGCCCCCAAAAAATACACATCTTCAYTGTAGCTGTGCTTGCCAGTCTTACAAGTGTATAGCGGTGATGTTAAAAGTGCAATACGGGTTGTTGACTTACCTGGTCAGTCGATGTTGTTGTAGCCATGATAGATATATATCGTAGTAATGCAGTAGTAACCCACTCTGTTGATGACTCGTCAATGAATCTACTGTTATCCTTGGTTGATCACCTCCTGTCAATCATAAATGATGTCATAACTATTACCTGTTTGTCTACTAGCATGATCAATCAAAGCACTGTCTAACTATTATATCTTATAAAGCTTCTATCTGCAACAATTCATTGTCAGGTTCGAAGGTTTCAAGTTGAAGAACCTCGTGGTTGTCTGTTCATTTCGTCACTGATGATTGATCCAGTACCACCAACCGTTTTCTTGCTTTTGAAATACTACATAATAAAGTGTGCTCTAAAAACGTTTCTTTTTCGTTTTATAGAAAAAGAGTATTTATTGTCGTCGGCACAACTTTTCATAATAGTGGAAAATTTTAAGCATATCAATTCTCAAGAAGTGGTACTGCCTTCAGATCAAAGACTCGGAAGAAGTACAGAGAGTTTGTAAAGCAATATGTGTGTGATCATATTTTTTTATGTATTTTAGCCGGCAATAGCTCTAGATTTGCTTATGCAGTAGTATATCCACACCGGCTCCATGAAACCTGGCATAATTTCTTTCATGGAGGCCATATAAAGCCGTGCTTCTTAACAATCTCCTCACCAGAATTTTCGATTTGATACTGGTTAATGACCCCTGTATTGCAATCAATCTTGAGGCAAAAAACTTGGTTGCGTAATTAATTTATACTTTTCTAGCACGCTGACAGGATCTGATACTTAGCCATACACCAATATTATTTCTCGACGGACGTTTTAGGAACTTGTAATTAGTTATAAAAGGTATGGAATGTACAATAGTAGATTCTAAATAGTACGTACAATGCTATCAGAGTTAAATTGTACTTCCAGACTAATAAAAGAACGAAAAGTTTATCAAAAACAAAAACACTCGTTGAACAAAAGCCAGAATTATTTGTTGTTTTTCTTTTTATCATTAGAACACGATTGCGTATTTGGTTTTATATTGAGGTCTGACTTGATTCAGAGTTGATATATCAAGCCTTGATATTACTACTATTTTTAACTAATCGCTTATTTCATTTCTTTCCAATCCTCTTAAATTTCAAAAGGTACCGAAGTAGAATTACTCTATAGACGCCAGCTGAGTATTCAACACACACAAGAAAATCAAAAATCCGAATTGTTCAAATAACTTAAGTGGAATTCTGTCATAGTTGTCGGATTGTGTTTGTCAAGTAGTTTGCGCAAGCTTCATTACGCTTCAAAAAATCATCCAAACTCAAAAATGAGTTAAATTATACTCTAGACTAAAAAAAAACATTGAAAACGGCTAAGTTTTTTTAAAAAAAGGAAGTGGTGAGTTTATCCACACTTAAACAACGTTAATTTAAAGAAACTTCCCTTGAATATTCTGCATTTACTAACTGTACTTTTATATTGTGAAATACTAAAACGTGGTAGTGTATTTATCTAAAATGTGCAGATGTATTAGCGTCAAAACTACTTGTTTCATGTTTCATAGGTTTTGTATACAGTTGATGTTCAAAACTTTCTTGGACACGTGGTGCAGACCACGCAAGAACTCTGAAACACGACAAAACTTTTCATAAACTGTTACTAGAAATACATCCAGTAGTTCGTCAAGGTTATTCTAGTCTTCATCGCGTTGAAAAGCATTTCAGTGGTGTCTAGAGAAAGCAGTATCTATCTTGAGGTGGGGTGTCTCGCAGATAATTCAACAAGGTGTAAAAAAGGCCACTGATTTGTAATCTTTTAATAAACACACGTGCATATGGCTAGCACAGGAACGTTCTTCTTTGTTAAACAATTTCACTAGATATTGTTTTCTTAGTTCAAATGCCGAAGAAATAAGCTCATTACAGTTTTACCGCTTCAGAGGGGTCGGTAGTGAACCACACCTAACCCGAATGGGACAAATTAGATTTTTATGCATCGTTCATTTTGTACAAAGTGAAATTTTGTGGTTATTGCATAAATTTGGTGTTAATTTGATAGACAGAATCAGTAAGTTGAATTAAGCCAGTTATCAGATTACTTGGTCCAGTTCTATAACTTTGCTCTGTGGGTTTTTCTAAAGCCATTGCCAAAGCCCATTTGCGGCCAGTCTTATCTGGATGTGATAGAAAAAAGATCTTAGACTGGATTATATGATTACACGGCTGTTTAGTTGGACATTGAGGACTTTTTTTGTCTCATATCCAAGCATATTAAGTGTTCCCTGTCCACTTGCAAATACTCAACTGGTTCTACTCGATGAGGACCGATGAGGGCAACACAAGTATCACACCTGGAAGGGAGTCATTATTCTCGTGTCCAAGAGAATGACGTAAAGCTCTCAATTGGCTCGCGCCTTGCATGTCCGAAGCAAAATCCCGCTTTATTGTATATTTAGCCATAGAAGGGTTGCAATATGACAAAGTATAGATACGAAATGATTTTATTTCAGCTGCAGTAAATGACTTTGCAGTGATGGTAAATAATCATTTGTGTGTAACAGTCAGTAAATTTGTTGTTGTTTTGTGGTAAGAAATACAGCAATAATAACGAAACCACGACAAAACACTATTGGAAACAGCCATGTTGGAACCATTTTTTTT